ACAAAGCCTTCTCCCCAACCATAAAAGACACATCACAGACCTTCCTATCCGCGTAGTTCTTCTACCTAGACTGCGCCGTGAAAAGCCACTCATGAATCACTTTCACCTTTTCTAATGCCTCATGGACCAAATCTGTACCTAAGAGCCTAGCCTCACCCGGCTCAAACCATCCAACCGGTGATCTACACCTCCTCCCATATAAAGCCTCGTACAGAGCCATCTGAATACTCGACTGATAACTATTGTTATATGCAAAATACGTGAGTGGCAGAAACTGGTCCCATGAACCCCCAAAGTCAATGACACAAGCACGCAACATGTCCTCCAATATCTGAATATTGCACTCGGACTGCCCGTCCGTCTGAGGGTGAAAAGCTGTGGTCAACTCAACTTGAGTACCCAACTCTCACTGCACGGCCCTCCAAAACTGCGATGTGAACTGAGTACCCCTATCTGAAATGATGGAAACTGGGACACCATGCATGTGAAAGATCTCTCGGATGTAAATCATGTTCCGGACGCACTCCTAAGTCCAAAATCACCTAACGGAGCTAACAAAACCATCATAATTCAAATCCGAGATCGTTTATACATAGGTCAACATCCGGTTGACTTTTCCAACATAGTTTCTACTTAAGAGACTAAGTGTCTCAATTCACTCTGAAACCATTCTGGTCCCGAACCAACTAACACGATATAATATAATATAGATGAATAACACAAAAAAAAGTAGAAATGGGGAAAACAGGGCTATAACTCTCGAAACGATCGGCCGGGTCGTTACATCCTCCCCCTCTGCTTCGCATCTCCCGCTCAGTCTCCCAGGTGGCCTCCTCCACAGTCTGACCTCTCCATTGCACCTTCACTGAAGCTATATCCTTTGACCTCAACCTTCGAACCTGCCGATCCAAAATAGCCACCGGCTCTACATCATAAGTCATATCATCCTTCAACTGAACCGTGCTAAAATCCAAAATATGGAACGGATCTCCAATATACTTCCGGAGCATGGAAACATGAAACACTGGATGCACACTCGACAAGCTGGGTGGCAAGGCAAGCTTAAAAGCCACCTCCCCTATCCTCTGAAGCACCTCAAAAGGCCCAATAAACCGTGGGCTCAACTTGCCCCTCTTCCCAAACCTCATAACACCCTTCATGGGTGATGTCTTCAACAAAGCCTTCTCCCCAACCATCAAAGACACATCACAGACCTTCCTATCCGCGTAGTTCTTCTGCCTAGACTGCGCCGTGAAAAGCCACTGATGAATCAATTTTACCTTATCTAATGCCTCATGGACCAAATCTGTACCTAAGAGCCTAGCCTCACCCGGCTCAAACCATCCAACTGGTGATCTATACCTCCTCCCATATAAAGCCTCGTACAGAGCTATCTGAATACTCGACTGATAACTATTGTTATATGTAAACTACGCGAGTGGCAGAAACTGGTCCCATGAACCCCCAAAGTTAATGACACAAGCATGCAACATGTCCTCCAATATCTGAATATTGCGCTCGGACTGCCCGTCCGTCTGAGGGTGAAAAGCTATGCTAAACTCAACCTGAGTACCCAACTCTCACTGCACGGCCCTCCCAAACTGCGATGTGAACTGAGTACCCCTATCTGAAATGATGGAAACTGGGACACCATGCATGTGAAAGATCTCACGGATGTAAATCTCAGTCAACCGCTCTGAAGAGTAAGTAGTACCAACTGGAATGAAGTGCGCGAACTTGGTCAGCCGATCCACAATAACCCAAATAGCATTGAACTTCCTCGAAGTCCGTGGGAGCCCAATCACAAAGTCCATGGTGATCTGCTCCCACTTCCACTATGAGATCTCTAATCTCTGAAGCAAGCCACCCGGTCTCTGATGCTCATACTTAGCCTGCTGACAGTTGAGACACCGAGCCACAAACCCAACTATATCCTTCTTCATCCGCCTCCACTAATAGTGCTGCCTCAAATCCTGGCACATCTTCGCGGCACCCGGATGGATAGAATACCGCGAGCCGTGGGCCTTCTCAAGAATCAACTCTCGAAACCCATCTACATTAGGCACACATATCCGACCCTGCATTCTCAGCAAGCCATCATCACCAATAGTCACATCCCTAGCATCACCTCTCCAAACCCTGTCCTGAAGAACGAGCAGGTGAGGATCATCATACTGACGCTCCCTTATACGGTGATAAAGAGAAGACCTGGAGACCACACAAGCCAATACCCGACTAGACTCCGAAATATCCAATCTGACAAGCTGGCCCGCTAAGGCCTGAACATCCAATGCCAAAGGTCTCTCTGCTGCTGGAAGATATGCTAAACTCTCCAAACTCTCTGCTCGGCGACTCAAAGCATCGGCCACCACATTGGCCTTCCCCGGATGGTACATGATAGTGATATCATAGTCCTTAAGAAGCTCCAACCATCTCCGCTGACGCAAATTAAGATCCTTCTGCTTGAACAGATGCTGCAGACTCAGGTGATCAGTATAAATCTCACAATGAACCCCATACAAATAATGACGCCAAATCTTCAATGTTCTCTTTTCTTTGCACATTACTATTTTCCATTTGTCATACTCACGGTATCATTATATATTCAATCTGAACAAATAAAATACTCCAATGATATCTTCTATGCACCGTTAATTATTTTTAATTTGCTTCATCTAGCCTTTCGTCCTTTCCACGTCTTTAATTAGCCTTACATTTTTTATTTTCCAAATTTTATTTAGTAGAAAGTTTAGTTGACCAATGCAATATCGTTTAACAAAAATAATACTCTGCTACAATTTTTATTCGAAATGATTTTGTCATTTTTGTAAAAAAAAAACTCTCTACAATAAATAAAATTAAACTGGGGTATCTGGTATGTATTTACAAAACATTGCAAATTGCATATTGTTTTTTGTACTTCTAGACAAAATCTTCGGAAGCGATCACAAACTTGAATTCCTAGTGTCGTCATTACAATGCCACGAAGGTTTCTTTATGGTGTGTTAAATTGATAAATTTTGAACTTTTGAACTTCAGCCCTCCCACATTTCTTTTTAATATTTTTTTTTAAGTTCACATTCTTTTTCTAAATATACAAAAATGGACTCGTTTTAATTTAGGAAAACTTTTAATATTTGTCTAATTTAAACAAAAAACCATATAATTTAATTTTTTTTGGAAAGTATATTATTTGGTTAGGGGAAATTAGACCGAAACGTCTAGTGAAAATCGAACTCCATTGATGTAAAGCTTAAAAGCATGCAAAATGGCGAAGAACGTCTTACCTGTGAAAACGAATAATGGAAATCCCACTTCTTACAGTACATAATGTACATACTGAAACCTTTATAAGCTACCCTTCTGGGCAAAGATAACTAAAACCAACCAAAACAATTTTCCGTTTCTATGGTCAATCTATATTTCCAAAATATCATTTTCTAAGGTTCTGGAATTTTACAGCCTCAAAAACTTTCTGTAGGCTAATCTTTCTTATGTAATATTTTTGGTCACCTGTCGTCTATTTCCTGTATGTAATCCACATCCTTTGGACGGGTCTGTTGAATGTAACTGTCCAAAATAGTATAACTTAAAAGAGACCAGAACCGAACTTCAAGGGAAAAACATATGTCCATCGTTAACCCAATGCACAAACTTCTCAGAGAATTGCCGGTGGGTCTCCTTACTTTGTTTGGCATCAAAATTGATATCTCCGGTAGTCTGCTCCGTCTAAAGTAACAAGATTTGGAAAGGAAAAGGAATTACTCAGGCAAATTGAATAACATGTAAAAAGCAGAAAATGACGGAGGTACGATCAAGATTTTTTATTACTCTGAAGCTTCCAGATATTGTATTAGCTTCATTTTTTTAAGGTAAAAGCACTATCTTGTAAGGCTGCTGCCATTTAAATTTACCCTCAAATAGTCTAAGATCTGCATGAACTAACCTTCAAGCTTGCCCCAGAATCATAAGCTGAGAAGTTTGTTTCTGCTTTAAGTTCATTTGTCACACTATCTGCTGACAGGCCCCGAGATGGAGAACTTATGATTGAAGATCTGCACAAACAGAATAAGCTTTAGATTTAACAACAAAATATTAAAAAATAACTAGGAATTAAGTCCTTGTTTTCCTGAAATCATCAATCTGGCATGACTGCAAAGGTGGTGGTTCTAACCAGTAAAAAGTAAAAACATTTTCCCCGTTAGAGACATAAGGCACAGCAGAATTAAAAGGGCATCCCGGTGCACTAAGCTCCCGCTATGCGTGGGGTCCGGAGAACGCACAACAGAATTGACTTGACTAAATGATGATTGCTACAAAAGAGTCTTGTTTCTCAATGTAGTATTACATCAACTTGAGTAGGTCAACATACAGAACAACCACTAAAACAGATACAAATGAACTGGGTCAAAAAAAAAATGCAAGTATGACAATCTTTTCTGCACTGCCAACAAAAGAAACTAGAAAGAGCACCATCTGCCTGTTCTGCTTTTGCACCATTCTGTCATTAATAGCTGAAGCCGCTAAGTTATCAAGCCTGAATACCCAAAACACTTTTACAGGCCACTAAAAACACTAAGTTGCATGATTCCTGAAGTTTGGGTCCTTGGTGTTGCAGTAATACCAGCAAGAGAACTGAACTTCTTGTTTTTGGGACAAGGAATAAGCAAGAGAACTAATAAAATTAAATTTAATCAGCATTTAAGGTATTGAATATATTTTCTCCCCTCCCCC